TGGGCTTGGGTTTTCATTTTTCAAACGGACTAGACAGTGGGCTAAGGGCTTGAAGTGGCAAAACAATGGGAAAGTTAAACAATTTTTTTTTTTTTTTATATAGGACCTGGGCTTGGGCAAAGGTGGGCTACAGCCCACCCCTCGCTCCGCCCATGCTGACATTCACTTGTATAAAATAATGTTTCTTTACTGCGGGAATTGTTAAGGGATAAAATCCCACATCGAATAAAGATAAAAACATAGACAAATTTATAAAAGTTTGAGCTACTCTTAATAATGTTGACCTTTTAAAATGGAATCCCGAATCTTAACACGATGAAGAATTATTTTCCTTCTTTTTTCTTGCAGGTTTCTTCATTTAAAAATAATCATGATCCGTCTCAATCTGAGATCAACTCAGCTAGCATGAAGAGTAAGGAACATGATTCACAAATTATTAGCATTGTCAAGGTGCAGAAGGGGCTTCGGCATAGAATTAGCGAGAAAAACCTTGAGAGGAAGAGATTGGAGAAAGAGGTGAGTTGTTAATATGTTTTCTTGTACCCGTTTCTCTGGACCCCTCTATTTATTTCTTTGTTCCTGTGTCGTGAAACGCATGGAGATGGATCAAAAAGATTGTGCTTTGATGGTTGAAAAATTAATACAGAAGCATCCTTGGTTTGCAACTGAAAAACAACTTTTTGGGAGAAAAGGATCAGATTACGACTTTGCTTCCCGTGATCCTAGTAAGGCTCAGGAAGAATTCGAAAAATTGGAAGCTGAACAATCTGAGTGAGAATTTAGCTGGATTTTCAAGGCTGTATGTTAAATTACAACAGTAGACCAAGCCACATTTTTATAAGCAATCCTAAGAGCAAAAATGATTTATTCTGACATTTTGCCTCTTTTCCTGTTGTAGCCTTGAGAAAAGGGTAAATAAGAAAGTCATGGCCATGTTTGAGAAAGCTAAAGATGAGTACAATGATTTGATATCCAAAAAGAACAATATTGAGGTAGTACTGTTGATTCATTAAAATGTTTCGACACTCAAGGTGATTGTTATTTATTCAAAGTTCTTGTTCTAGAATGACAAGTCAAAAATCAAGTTGGTGATTGAAGAGCTTGACGAGAAGAAGGAAGCCCTTAAAGTTACCTGGGTGAAAGTAAACAAGCGAGTGCTATGTTTGCTTGTCTGTTCGTCATTTGACTCAAGGTAAGTAGTAGTATCTATTTTTGCTTTCAAATTATTTTGTGGTGCTTTATCTACTAACTCTTGGGATTGTTACTTTGCTTGCTAGTGAACTAAATCTTTCTGTTAGAAAAATTCGGGTCGTGGGTCGCCCATATGGGATGACCCGGCCCACAAGTTATTAAAAAGGTTGGAGGGAGTTTGAACTTGAAATTCAAACATACAACTCCCAAACCATCATTAACTCCCTATAACATCCAATGATTGTGCATTGGAAAAAGATAGAAAAAAGATGACATGAAAACTGAAGGGAAAATTCTTATGGAAATTTAAATCAAAATTGGAAAGTCCTTAGAACCATATTTTGAACATGAAATCTCACAAAAATTGACACTTAGATTGTGAATAATAATCCCCTCCATTGTGATCAGGTTTGGGACCATTGGAGAATAAGAAATGCAGATTTTGGAGCTTTAGAATGCAAGGTTATTCAACCATCAAAAGATCTAAGAATTCATTATTTCAAGAAAGTTTCTTGAACCTGAAATTCACCTTAAAGAATGCTACAAATTCTCACATTGGTATCAGAGCCGTAAAAGTTGTTTCTCTTGCATACTATCTTACTGTAAATGAAATTATTATATTGAAAAATGCATGTGTGCCTTTTTTGTTGAAACTTAAAACATTGTTAATGGCATGTCATGAAATATGCAACATAAATTCACGAAATTTTTCCAACATATTCCTTATATGATGTAGATCATATGTGCAAAGTTTGGAATTTTTTTGTTTTATAAATTTGGAGAAAAATGAAACCCTAGATAAAATTGCAGAAACTTTAAATATTTATTGCTATCTACTCGTTTATCTTCATGTAGTAAGATTA